CTATTTAATTGCATTATTTCTGAAGTCAATTTATTATATTTCATGATTTAACTGCTATAAATTTACTGTATTTGCATTCGTTAGGTGAACAAGATTGATGTAGAACCAGAGGATGAAGTAACCGATGAAATCGATTGGGATAATACAGCCTTGCTGCAAGATATCAATGAGCAACTATTGATAGATCTTCAGCTCCAGTATTAAGGGCTGTCCACACTAGCCTATATATGAGCATAATGATGTCATAACATGATAGTGTGGACAAAGCCTCAACTACTATATGATCACATAATCTTTCCAGCAGTTATCAAATTTCTTAAGGATATACCATCTGTGATCAGCTGAAGAACTTAAGAAAGAAAAATCAATATTTGATTTTTCTTTCTCAAATTCTTCAGCTGATCACAGATGAATTTAAAAAGAAAAATCAATATTTGAATATTCATCCAAGCTTTTACTTGGAAATTAGCAAAATAAAATATATTTCAATGATTAGCGGAATACTGATTTCATATGCATACTGTTGAATTGGCTGGTATAGTAATCAATTTTTTAGTGATCTGCTTTTTATTCGGAAATAAATAAAGTTACCATTCGATTTAATTTTTACAGATGGCATAAATGGTTAAAACAATTACAATGTTGCCTGATTTGATGCTGATTAATAGATCAGCAGACTTTTTGTGAGCTATCCTTATGCTTTCAGATTTGTATATTGAATAAGTCTACAAGCCATATAGCTGGTTACCCTGTCTCTTATACATTACGTTCCTTTAAGTAGAGTCAATATTTTAAAAAACGGGTTTATTAGTAGATTAAGTTCCTCGTATAACAAGTTAGTTCAGGACTATCCGTCTTTAGATTTATTTAACTCCAATCTGCACTTTTTCCTTCGTAGCGTTTTAGGCGTGATTAGTTAAAATTAATTTTGTTTGTGTTTCTGTTTCCGTCGTCTCGTCCTTTGTTAACCATACTGTAAGTGGCGGATTTGTGTCCGCTGTTGTTTTGGTGAATAAATAAATAAAATAAAAATAAAATAAAATGTAATAATAATAATAATAATAATAATAATAATAATAATAATAATAATAATAATAATAATAATAATAATAATAATAATAACAACAAGTGCTAATGAAATTGCTATATTGAATTTCTATTTCTATTTTTTTTTTTTTTTTTTTAAATTTTATCGTATTTTAAACATTTTAAATTTGTATTCTGAATTGATTCTATATATATTTATACTGTATGATGTTTTTTATTGTAAATTCAACTATGTTTACTTAGTTGCTAAATAAATAAAGAATTTCAAAGAATTTGAAATTTGAATTTGAATTCTCGTGTGCAAACTACCATAAATTACCCAAAACCAGACGTACTTACCAACGAACGAACGAATAAATGAATGAATAAAATAAAACTTGAACAAAAAAAATTCATAAAACTGTGTGTGACTTTCAATTATTTTTAAAGTCTGTCTTTCTTTAATGTTTTTCGATGGTGAGTCGAACGATAACTGCGCAGCGTCCCGAGAGAACACCGTTTACGTCGTCTCCGCCTCGTCTTCGACTTTCCAACGTCTGCAAGATGTCCCGGACCGAATTTCGCGGTCCGTCGAGAGACGTCAGACGACCGGCCCTCGATCTTCCTCGGCAATACTAGAACCCAGCGGATCTTCCGCCGGTCCTGTACACGCGATACGTATCGTCCGCGGATGCTCCGATGGGCTTGTTGGGCAGGAAGGCGCCCGTGGAGGCTGTGTACGCGGTGGAAGCTCCGACCTCCGATGACGACGTCCCGCTCGACATGAGATGGCCGTCGAAGGCGGTGGTTCTCGACGAACGACGGGGAGTCCGGTGCAACGTGTCCTTTTCGAACGCGGTGTCCGTGGGATGTCACGCGCTCGTCAGGCGCGTGTCCGGAAACAGGACCGCGTGGCGCATTCTGGACACGAAGACGATAGCGTACGTGGGCGAAGAGGCCGTTCGCTCGGAAACGGAGGTTTCGGCACGCATCGCGTCGGAGCCTGTACCGACCTGTTTCGCCGCCGATTACGACGCGTCGTTGCACGACGCTCTTCGAGCTCATTTCGGCGACCGGTACTACGACGCCGTCCTGGACAGGATTTCGGTGTCGACGGTCGCGATAAGAACGGGACGGCAACCGGAGAAGCTGCTGAAGGAAATGACGGCGAAACTGACGGCGTGCAAGGTTTTTCCCGTCAGCGGGTGCTGGCTTTCGAAGAACAAGACCTTCTACAGGACGACTGCCGGATGGAAGTACGGTGGCTTGACGTCGACGGAACTGTTCTCTCACCGCGGAAAGAACATGGAACGTCACGTCGTCCGGCACGATCCCATGAGGTGCGAGATGTGCGTGACATGCGTCTGCGCCAGGGCGTGGCCGACATAGTGAACGGCCTGCACGACGACCGAAACCGCGAGGCTTTCAGAAGTCTTATCGATTCTTTCGCCAAGCTCGTGATGGACAAGGAACATTGAAAAAATATTTAATTATTAAAGATAAAAACAAACGAAACAAACTTCGAATATGTTGGTGCGTGTGCGTGTTTGGGTGTATATATACATAAAATATTTTCGTTTAACCAACAATTCCACATTGATGATATCACGATGTGCAGCAACATGGATGATGTAAAGGATCGGTTAAGATACACATTTCGTCTGATTCGGGAAGTCAAAAGAAAACAGAATGAATGCGAATAAACCAACGGAATGGACGTTCGCAAGTTGAAGGAAGTGGATATCGACATCAGACAGATGGAGTTTTTGTTCGGAGAAATAACTAGACTTTTCCGTTCGTGCGTCAAAGTTATCAACTACTGTACGGACGAATGGACCGGCGCACAGTGGCTGATCGATGCTTTCGAACGCATCGCGAACTACGTCGGAGAATTCGTCGAAGTCGAAACGAAATGCAGCTTGATCGTGGACGAACTTTTAGGAAAACGTAAAGAGGAACCTTCTACTGGAGATGCCTGCAAGGTGTGTTTTCTCCGAGTTGCCGAGGTGGTGACGACGCCTTGTTATCATTACGTTTCCTGCAAAAGATGCTCTTACCGACTGAGAAGTTGCCCGGTGTGCCGGACGACGACGGAAAGACGTCTGCCGATCGGAGATATCGAAGAGGGTACGCGTGTGTACATATGTTGAACAAAAAATCGTTAAAATATATAATAAATTATCGTTAATAGAATAATAAAGAATGCATGAAACAGAAAATATGCTTTGTGTGTGTTTACTTTTTATTTTCTCGATTATCATGAGAACCGATCGATCATGACGAAACATCGGTCCATCTTCACCCAACTGACGACCTCGCACTCGGCGGCGTCCCTCCAAACTTCGTCGTCACCTTTATCATCTCGTTTCAGCAAGGAAACAGTCCACCGTCGGTCGGTGTCCAATCGGAGAGGAAACGATAGGGTCAACGCTTCATCGAAAGACGATCCCGGACGACCGCACCCGACGACGGACGGGACATTCCAAAATCAAGGAAATGGACGAATGGACGAACAGACTCGAGGAGGTGAAGAGGCAGCGAACTAGCGAATAAGAACGAGAGGATAGTTGGAGAACGTGACGATGCGCTAGATCGCACCGAAGAAGAGTTGGCGTCGCAGAAACTGGAGTGGAAAAAAGCCGCGTCCGAGGTTCAGTCCCTGAGGAAAGAATTGGAAACGGCGAAAAGCAAGCACAACGAAGATGTGATGACACTCAGACAATCGAACGCAGCCACCGTGAAAAAGCATCGAACCGTAACGGATACGTTAAGAGAAGAGGCTAGATCGTTGCACGACGAGATTGCTTCCGCGAAAGAAAAGCTGGCCGAAAGCCTCGCCGATAATGAGAAGACAACCGGAAAGCACCGTACGTCAGTCGCGGACGCGAACAGCATGGGCGAACGGAACAAGAGGCTAGAATCCGAATTGGCGAAGGTCGTGGAAGAAAGAGACAAGCACAAAAAGGAGGTCCAGCGGAGAAACAAGTTGCACGAAGTGTTGAAAAAAGACATCGAAAAAACGAAAGAAATTTTACAGAGCTCGGAATCGGAATTACGCCAACAGCGTAACGAAATCAAAAGAGCGCGAACTAAAACGGCCGATTGCAAACGGGAGGTCGATCAGTTGCAGAACACGATATCCGATTTGCGAAAAGAGCGCAAAAACTCGAAATCGGAAATCGATCGATTGCGCCAACAGTTGACGTTGCGCAAGGATTCTACGAACGAAACCGAAAGAATGCGAACGAAAACGGCAGATTACAAACGGGAGGTCGATCAGTTGCACGATATCCGATTTGCGAAAAGAGCTGAAATTAAAATTGTTTTTTAGTGTTCACTGCTTTGACACAATATTGCCGGCTATATTCCAGAAAAAGACAAAGGGAACCGAATATTAATAGGCCTATATGTATTAAGTAAATATATTAACTTTCCAATGTCGTGTATATTTGTATTGTTTGTATAAATGTTAAGTAGGCTAGTACTATATACTATTCAGTGCAGATTCTTCAGTAGCCTAGGCGAGGGTCTTACAACATTTTCTGCATTATAGGCATAACTTCACGTAAATAAGGCATAGGCCTAAGCCTACACGGACTGCTGTGGGTTGCTGGACGCACAATCTAGGACAGGCCCCAGACTCAGCTGAAAAGACCATCTGGTCCGACCTAGCATAGGCTTAGTTAGAGGGAGCATATACCACGTCCATACTACTTAGGTCAATCGTTTGAAAATGGACTCGATCGTCCCTCACCCGCCTGTAGCAGCAGCAGCACAAGAGAAAACTAAGCTAAGCCTCAGCCTGCTCGCTTTGATAATTTCAAACGGTCACACAGTGTAGTGTAGACGGTATAAATATACATGACGTCACTAGCCACTCCCCCTCGGCTGAACCCGTTGTATTTAGCAACTACCAGGAAAATCAGCTTTCCCCTAGACAGTACGCCACTGTATTTATCTTGTACAGTTTTAAAATGTCATGACCTCATGGAAGAACACCGTCTTTTCTTTTAGGTGAACGATTATAAATATATATTTTAAATGTATATTTTAAATGTATAGTTTTCGTGAATACATAAAGCTTTTGATTGATTGTCAAACTACTGATAAGGATGAATACAGTACATTCACCAATTGGCATTCTATGTGAAAAAGTGATGTGAAGAATTTTAATAATGATTCTAAAGCTCGTTTTCCACTAGGCGAATTTATTCGCGCGAATCAAAGTTTCGGTTCGCTTCCTGAGCTCTGTTTGGTTGCGCATTTTTTCGCTTCGAACAAACTCCGCTTAATGAGCGCCTGATATGTTTTTAATTTTCTACGCCGTTTGCTTTATATATATCATAATTGAGATATGAATTTTGTTTAATACGATGTTATTCTTTTTCTTTTTCTTTGATTGTTGTTAAATTTCCTAATGTTTCTGTTTGCTTTTTCGATGTTACTTTTTCTTCACTAGATTTGTTATTTAATTAAGTAGATAAGTTTAGACGCACCAATGTATAGTGTGTGTCACTCTTCGAAAAGTGAGAGCCAATAAAAACTGAAACTGAAACTGATCAATCAATCTAATGCAGTGGAGGAGAGCTGCGAAGTTAAAACTGAAAATTATGAAAGCGTCTAAGAACGAATCGCTTTATTTTCCTAAGCTGGTTTGTAATAGAACAACTACACATGCATTACGGAATAAAGGCGGCTTCACGTCAAAACCGTAAATGTAGGCCTTTACCACCGTTTTAAATTTCTACGTGGCTACAAAAATATCTTTCAAAATATAACGCAAATAAACTGAGGAATGGTTTTGACGCGTCAAGGAATTAAGTTATCGAGTGTAATTTTTATTATAAACTCATTGGACAAATCAAGCATCCTTAATGGTTATTGTTGTGATGACTTTATCAATGTTATTTCTGCATCTTTTTCAATGCTTATATTAGTGTAGTACGCAATCAGGCGCTAATTACTATTCTAGAAAATGATTATTCGCATTATAATTCAGATTCCTCACATCACTTTTCACATAAAATAAAATAAACTCATCAAAATTTATTCTCATTCTTGACAGAGCAGTTCTAAATTGTGATACGTGCCGATAATATGCTATTAAGCAAGGCTCAAATACCGTAGTAGGCGTTATGCAGGCGTAGCTTTCATTGACAAGCCTTATGATGAAGAGTACAGTAGTTGAACACCACGGACTTGAACCCCCTTTTATTATAATTCTGAAATATATATTTTAGAAATGAATAATGATTAGGCTATAATTACAAAAATAAACTGTACAGGTCTAGCCTAGGTCTATTTTTTCAGATTGTCACTCAGTCACGCGTAGTTGCACGAAATGAAATTTGTTTACTTGGCGTAAACGCAAAAATACAGTATATAGGAAAGATAGGCATAATAATTATCATGACAAACAATGACAATAATTAAATAATGGTGACGATAATGATCATGATGACTAAGAATAAACTACAGTTTATTCTTCAATTCGGGGCCTTAAAATTTGGGGTGATCTCGGGGTTGGTCTCCATTATAGGGCTAGCTTTGTGCTAAAAGGTTGAAGATTGTTATTCGGGTCTTTGGAAAAGTGCGAATTAGAGACTGTCTCTTATACAAGGTACCGTACATGTTAAGAAAGGTAGAAGTCGGTGTAATTGGAGGGGAAAATGTGAGAGACAGCAATTTTGACAAAGACACAAAGTAGGAGTTGATGTGGATGTGATGACAAGACAAGTAGACGTGCCATGGTCAGGAGGGGGGTTTTGTAAATAAGAGGGTATGGGTACTACTGTGGAGTAGCTGAGTTATTCTTGTAATCCAGATTGCTACGCACTCTCTAATTATTTAATTGTTGTTATAGAATAATATGAAAATCTTCCAAATATCTACAGGATTCATAGGAGCAAAGGTACTCAAACAGATTGGAATAAAGTACTTGACGATTGTATCTACTTTGTTGAAATGTATTTCCACGTACGTGTATGCTTTCAACTGTAAACGACGCAGTGTCTTTTGCCGGGTGGATGACGGTACTAGGTAACGTGACTTGTGACGAGTATAACTTCCTATTATTACATATAAATATTTGTATTTAAATATTAATACTATTTAGTATGCGAAATTTATTTCCTAAAGCAGATAATTTGCAATGACAAATGACATATATTATTTATATTTTGTTTTCATAGCTGTTGCTATTGGGTTGACATGTTCAACAAATGTATCTGTCTTGGGGTTAATATATGGCGACCATCTTAGTAACGCAATTGGATTTGTCACCCTTTTACTTATGATTGGCACCGCAACCCCTCCTGCTACACAGGTACGAAACATGATAATTAAAAATTACTTTACTACTCATACTACTCCCTGTTTTAGTTTTAGTACTACTGCAGCTTAATAATACTAGTGCTGTTGTTTCTGCTTTGAAAACGTTTCTTATAGTATTTGATTTCAATTTTTTAATGAATTTAATTTTTAAATTTTTATTATTATTTATCCCTTTACTACCACCACTACTACTAATACTACTACTACCACCACCACCACCACCACCACCAGGGGTGGCGCCAGGATTTGACCGACGGGGGGGAGGTCCCCGACGATGGGGCCGATGCCCCGACGACGGGTCAGATTTCCCCGACGAAAGGAAAGTGGGTGTGGTCGAGCTTCGATTAAAAAAGTTTCAAAAGTGGTCCTGGGGGCGAAGCCTCGAAAATTTTGACAATTAAGGGGTTTCCAAGTCTTATTTAATCGATTTTATAGTCTACTAATATGTAGAAAATACATATAATTTTTCCCCCCGACGAATTGTGCTTTTTCTCTCCGACGGGGGTCCTGGCCTGCTGGCGCCACCCCTGCTCCCCGGAGCTTCGCTCCTTCGGAGAGGCTAAACCGTTAAGTAATAGAGGCCTAGCATTATAGCATGGGTATTAAGATAGGCATAAATCTTTGTACATATTACAGTACTTCTAAACATCTAAGCGGCATAAATATATTGCTTACAATGACGGTCAAAGTATCCCATTTACAAATAAATTATCTAAAAAAAAGTGGTGTTTAAATTCATTAGAACCACATTCAAAATCAGCCCAAAAAGACAGAGACCCCAGTAATAAACTTCATCTTTTAAGTTTCTTAATATCATCTCTAATTACTTGTAGTCTACTGCATCCAAATATAAAATGGTCGACTGTTTCTTGTGTAGTCCTATTATCATCGCATATTTTACATTTATCAGGAAGGTCATTTGACCAAGATGGCTTTCTTCATCCGAGCTCTAGTGAGTTGGATGGGGCCTTACATTTAAGATTGATTCCTTTTAAAAAAATTGGTTTTATTATGTAGATAATTAAGTTCAAATGTTGGTTCTCCTTTGTATTTTATATAGCATATATATAAAATAGATGAATAGATATAAAAATTTGACTTTGATTTTTCTCTTACATTTTATAGCGTCGGTTTTTTGTTCTTTTTGCATAATTTTATCTATCTTTCTTCGTTTTCAAGAATTACAAGATATAGCATAGTAATGCGATTCAGTTGTAATTAATTTTTGTTACTCGCACTTTTTTTAAGAGAGTGGGCACAATTTCACATAGGCCTACACACATTGTCGTTAAATGTCAAAATGTCCAGTCTTCTTCTCTGTAAACTTTACTAATGATATAAATTTAAATGATGACTATATCGATATGAATGATATATAACGATACTAATAGTAATAGTGTAATAATGTGACGATGAATGGCGGTGACGGGTGATGACGACGATGACGGCGACGACTAATGATGATGATGGCCGTGATGATGATGTTGATGATGACGGTGGTGATGATTATGATAATATGACGATGACGTTGACCTAGACGACGATGACGATGATTGTGACGATAACGATGATGACAATGATGATAATATTAATAATAATAATTATTATTATTATTATTATTATTATTATTATTATTAAATACTATTTGTTATTTATAAGAAATCTGCCTTTAACGCCGGTCCGTTTATTGTTATGTGAATAACTTCCTCTGTTGCCGCTCTGTTGATCTCTTTGTTGTGCTTTTCTCTTTTCCATGTTAATATATCCATCTCTACACTCTTCTCTTCTATTCTTCCTTCAAGCACTTTAGTATTGGAGTAGTACTTGACCATCTCTTTCTTCTCATATTTATTGTATTTGTGGTAAATATCTTAGTGTTATCTTTCTGGCTTTTAAAGTCACAGAAGCATGCAGTACTAGACTCAAATTTGTTAAATTACTTGCAAGCTACTTGAATCATTTCACGTCATCCTGTTTTATTGTATTTGAATTTATACA